TCATCCCAAATTTTTCAAACTTAGCGGCATCTCTACATAGGCTAAAGATAAAAGGACAGGAACTAATTTGGGAACAGGAATGTGACAAAGCGTTTAAAAAATTGAAAGAATCTTTAATATCTTCCCCGGTACTAGCCATTCCCACCCTGGGAGTCGTAGCCCACCATGTATGGAACTACGGCGACGACAGGTGGTATAGTGTGTTTTGAGGCTCGAGACCCCGAAACGGCTCACCTCGGGTTCTCATTCACGGCCCTTTTTCTCAATCCGGGTACCTTCAGTCTATCCTGTGACCCCTCCCAACCCTTGGTTGCAAGGTGGTTATCCGGGCACAAAATAATGGTGCAGCCCAGAGGGTGTGGCAACCTCTCTGAAGCACAAGCTGTACTCGTGTCGGCCTAGGGTCGGCATGGGCGGCGGGTGCCTTAGCAGAGTCACACGAGGGCCAGTGCACTAGATCCTGTCTGCATAGACGGGGGAGGGTGTATGGCTATCTGTACCACGGGATAACTAAACTTTCCAAATTCAGCCCTAGTTACACCTGGCGGGAACTTAGACAGAGGCTGTCTTCTATCTGTGACCTTCGTGAAGCTTGCGTATGGCCAGCGTTATTACCCCCGGCCTCAGGGGAGACGTTGCGACCGGACGACAGCGTGTAAGCGTTGAGGACGCGATGATTACGCTGAATAGTCCCTCGAATGCGTGAGTAAGCGAACGGAAACGGGTAGTGAATCGGTGTCTCCTACTCGAGTATGCTTTGCATTGTTGTGCGTATGACCGGCGTGGTACCCTTGGGGAAGAGAAGGATCGGACCACCTAGGCTGAGCCTAGGGCGTCCCTCGAATGAGCACGGCAGGTGTAGGCTGAGCTCGACAGGAGGTTTTTACCGTAGGCGGTGCTCCTCTAGGGGGTGGTTAGCAATTCCACTTAAAACAAAACCGCGAGGTTCTCTTGGCCCTTAGGGGCTGGGGCGCATCTACACCAATGCTGCGGCGGTAACACTATTCCGTTGTATGCGGAGATGCGTCAGCTCTCATCTTGAGAATCAAAACGTCCGATAAGGCCGAATAGGCCAGGCGCGGGCGCTAAAGATCCTCATGTCTTGTTGACGATGAGTTCTCGGGAACGGTACTAGACATTCCAAACTTCAACCGACGTTTTATGCTTTACACGGTCGCGTCTACCTTTGCCATAGGGAGCTTATTAGCACAAAGAGACGAAAACGATTAGATCTGTAGCCTTTTTTTCAAAGATTCTTACTAATGCCGAAAAAATTATACAACTTATACAAAGGAACTCTACTCTGTCATACTCAGTTTGCGGCACTTTAGACGTTTCTTAGCTCATAAACCATTCGTGTTATTCACTGATTGTAGTGGTTTAGTGGATTTTTTAAAAGGCGACCCTCCAAATATTTTGAATAATCCGGCGATGAAGTGGATATCCGAATTGGATTCCTTCAGTTTTGACGTCAAACATGTAAAGGGACAAAATCGCCTACTACAAATTACCACCTTCGATTGATCTGTCAAATTAATCCCGGTGATTAAACACGCTTAACGGGCAAGATAAAAAAAAAGAAAACTAACAATTCATCTCTTTTTCCTGAAGGTATTGAAGTATTTCTTCATAATCGATTATTTCGAATTATCTTGTAACTGGTTAAACAAGGAGAAAAATGATAATCGAAATTATCGAGTTTCTGATGGAAAACATCAATATTTCCGTAATAAATCGATGAATTTTTGGGTTTCTGGTATGATTTTTTAAAGATTAAGTTAAAAAATTAAAACATCAAATATTAATTTTAATGTTTATTAAATTAAATTTTTAATTTTCTCCTTTTTTTAACCAGTTGCGATAAAATGAAATTATCGAATTCTGAAGTAAAACTACACTCTCGTCCAGAACAAATCAATGAATTTTTGGGTTTCTGGTATCATTTTTTAAAGATTAAGTAAAAAAAATTAAAACAAATCAAATATTAATTTTAATGTTTTATGAAATTAAATTTTTAATTTTCTCCTTTTTTTAACCAGTTGCGATAAAATGAAATCATCGAATTCTGAAATAAAACTACACTCTCGGCCAGAACAAATCAATGAATTTTTGGGTTTCTGGTATCATTTTTTAAAGATTAAGTAAAAAAATTAAAACAAATCAAATATTAATTTTAATGTTTTATTAAATTAAATTGAGTTGGAATTAAAAATTGAAAATCCGGAAATAGAGAAGTTTTCCTTCAGAACTCGGTAATTTCAATTTTCATATTTTCCTTTGTTTACGTCATACGCTATAAATTAAAGTTAGCGAATTCTGAAGAAAAACTTCAATCTCATCAAAACAAATCGATGAAATTTTGAGTGTCTGGCATTTTTGTTAGAATGTTAATGAAAAGCTTAACTGTTAAGACAAAAAAAAGTCAACTATTCCTTTTTAAAAAGCTCGTGACTACATATTAGTGCCCTCTGTGATCGTACCGAGGAAACCTGTTGAGCGTTGATAATAATCAACAACTACAACTCAACACTAACACCATCCACTATCACTAATAACACTACGTTAATTCTATCAAACACAGACAAACCAACATACATATCCATTCTATTCGTTCACAGCTTATCACACAAATTAAACACTACCCACCATTTTGAACACCAACACAATTTCAATTTCAACAATCCAAAACAGTTAAATACAGAACAAAACAAACTTTTGAAAACAAAACGTAACTTTTTAGAAATGGTTTACATCAACAGAGATAAACCCAGCATCAATACCCTTTTTTTCCATTGTCGGTCCCTTTCACCTCAAAGAAGCCGAATCCTCTTAGAAAATTGAATTTCTATCCTCATTTCCTTCCCCACTCCTTCAAAATGAAACATAAACAAAAACATTAAAATCTCATTAACACTCTCAACACGACACACAACAGTGACACATCTACACGGAAAACACACACTTTGAGTGAGTACGAATATTTTGATTAAATATAACATTTCTTGTGTACGACATTGTATAATTTCATTTTCATATCTTACATGTATTGGTATAATTTAAACAATGTTTATAAATCCCAGGCCCTGAAGATGATCTCAATAAATATCGAAACGTTGGCACGATAAAGAAAATGTTTTTCTAAACCTATATTATACCATCCCGCATCTTACAATCTCTAAATAAACTGTAATTAACAGTCTCTAAATACTACACATTATGGTATTAATAGATACATTTAATTTTTATATACGTATGTGTTTACTGTTTTTTAGTGCAAAAGTTTTATTTTTCCTCTTATTTTTATTTTCACTCCCTTCTCTAGTTTATGAATTCAAATTTTTTTTCCCAGTTATGTCTTCATTTTTTTTTTTTTAATTGTTTTGTCAATTTTTTGTTGTTTTCAGTTGTATTGTTTTTTGTTTTCCTGATTCAGTTGTACTATTGGGCCAAGACTGAAGTCTGGACACATTCACTCCCCCAGAGTATTCCATATTGCTCGGGAAAATAAACCGATTTATGTATTTATTTTTTTAATAATAACTAGGACCGAATTTATATGTGAAGTAAAATATAAAATATGTACATATATACATATTTATTTTTTAGCGAATACGAAAGTAAAAATGAAAAAAAATGTAAAATAAAGAACATGTAGATATGATTTTTTTAAAAGAATTTTCTAATTTACACATATTTGTTGAATAATGTGAAAGAGAGAAGAATATAACAATTTAATAAACTAGAAAATAAACCTTTAATTTTAAGATTTATTTGAAATTACGTAGATTTTTAAATTTTCATAAATAAAAATGTATCTTTCTAGTGCTAAAATGAAAATCATGTAAAATAAAAACAATTTTTTTATATGATTAAGGAATTATATAAGTGTTAAATTATTGATTGTTTTTATTTGAAAATTGTGGAAAAGAGATATAATAAAAATTCAAAACTTTAATCTTCAAAATTAGATGAAAGAATATACGTTTTTTAATTCTCAAAATTGTTCACGTTTTAAAATCTTTAGTTTTGGGAAACCCATCTTATGTTTTTGCTCATTTTGTTTAATTTTCAATAATTTTGTTGTTTATTTTATTAAATATGAACCAAAATATGTAAATCAAGATAAAATATGAAATTTTATGTAAAATCCTCCAAATATTTACATATTGGTATTATAAATTTTTTTCGGTTCTAAATAGCATGAAACATGAAATAAAAGTTTTAACGTCTGTGTATGAGGCACAGAAAAAATATGAGAATACTTGTAAATCCGCTCCCTAATGATACATAAGCATATATTACTATCATCCAAATTCGTTTATGTTTCAATTAATTGATAAGTTTAATTAAATATTGTTTGATGATAATAATAATAAAATCGGCGAATTTTTTGTTATAAATTAAGGAAAATTCGCTTCTGCGGGACCATCCTTTTTTGTTGCCTCTTTTACCCAATATTTAAATTAAATTTAAAAAAAAACATACTTATGACAAAACAATCATGAAAAATATTGTGCATATGTATTTGTAAATATTAAAGCAAGGTGTTTAATTTTGCGGTATTTCCTGAGTATACAATGTTCATCAAGAAGCCTAAAGAACGAAAAACTCGCGCAGAATAAAAATTAGAAAGGAAACTGTTAAGAATAAATCTTTTTAACTTCCCTTAATTCCCGGCTCGTGTATATCCGCAAATAGATTTTCTACACTGGAGAAAGTTTAATGAAATAATAATACTTGATTTTCGGATTAGAGAGTTCGGCTGATGTCAGGTCTTGACTTAAGCATTAGAAGAAATGCCGCTTTGAGATGATATTTGTTAGGTCTATAAAGTAATGGGATTTATGGGAAGAAATCTTCAAGGTTTTTCTTTATTAGTTTGTTTATTTGTGTTATTTTGTCAGTATGGTCGGAAGGTCTTCTTTTGCCTGGTGCGGTGTGTGATGGCGCTCTCTCCCGCCTTGCAGGTGGACTCACGTTTATTCCACTTCTCCAGACGGGTCTCCACTTTGTACTTTTGTGGTAGTCTACACTCGACTCGGGACAGGTATGCATCTATCCGTGCTAGGATCCTAACAGTGTTAAGTGATGTGCTTTTAGGCTGCTATGAGTCACGAATTCGGAATCTCATCAATCACCATCTGACACTTCTAGTTTTCTTAAAAAGGGACAAATTTTTTCTCATAGATAAATTCCAGCTATGGGTTCGAAGGTCGAATACGTCGATTCGACACACATGTACGCCACGAATTACGTCCGAAATTCAAAGGCCATAGGTGTCCTGTGGGGAATCTTCACAATATGCTACGCCATAATAATAGTCGTCGCTTTCGTGACGCCCGAATGGATCAGCAACACGTCTGAAGCCGAGTACCCGGCCAGATTCGGCCTGTGGAAAATCTGTTTTTACGAGACGACCGTCGGTCTGTCCGAGGATTGCCAGGGTCGCCTCGACGACTTGTCCTCCATCCCGGGCCTGCCTTTTAAAATTTCGACCATTTTATGCGCTGTCGCCATCCTCGTCGCAGGTCTCACGATAATCACGATGCTCATGTTTCTCTTTCATACATCGACAGCCGTCTACAAAGCTTGCGGATGGCTGCAAATTATATCAGGTGAGCCTTATTCTAACACTGGGTACTATAAATATTGAGACGGTTCGTCTCCCTAAGGACGCATAAGGGATGACCTAGATAGTGGTAATAGGGTAAGCATGCCGCCGCTAACAGAACTCCCTTCACGCGTACTACATTCCAGCCAAGGAAAGAGGTGCCATAACGGTGTTCGACACTGTTGCCGATTAGCTTCAATGGCAACCTTGGTCATACTTAACTAATATAATAAGAAAGCTAGGATGATATAATAAAATGGAAATACAATTATACGTAACATCCTGTTTCTTCACCATTTCACAAAAACAACAAAAGGAACTAGTTGTACCCAGATTTTTAGTTACCTGCATAATGCAGTTCCTTACTGCTATTCATTTACAATAAATCTTTTCCACCGTCTAAATATCAATTATCAATCAATACAATATCAATTGAAGCACTGCCAATCGCTAGTGTAAACGAACAATTGAGCTACATTAGCATTGCCAGTAATACTATTTTATCAATAAATTAAATATAAAAAAAGGTTAATAAAGGTGTAGGTAGGTAAATCTTATCTACATGTAGTACGTTAAAGTCTCCAGGAAGTCGAGTTAATTTATGATAATCACAGACGACTGGGGTTTAACTCATAGGAGAATTATAAGTAAAACTTTTTTTTTGTTTTTGTTATGCAGAGTATCAATTTACTAGTTTCACCCCTGTTTTTCCCAGAAACTACTCAACCTTGAAAGAAAATTAAATAGTGGTTTTGTTAGAATAAGCTTTAACTTCAAACAATGCGATACTTACAAGATTTTTTTTTTTCTTAAAAAGGTAATAAATTAAAATTTGATTCGATTTTATGAAAAATGGCGAAAACTATTTGAAAATCGGCTCAGAGGAACGTCAGATATTGCAAAAAGAAAGTGTTAAATCACATACTGCACTCAAAATCTTTGCCATTTTAACAGTTATGAATTTTTTATCTAGATTTTATATTTGTTTATGGGGTTTTCCTGCGATTATTGCAATGTTTGAAAGTAAAGCTTATGCTGTAAAAATTACAGTTTAATTTTTTTTATGTTTTTTGAGAAAACCAAGGACCGGGGAGGGTGACAGTCCCAAGTTAACACATTGTGTATCGACGCTCCTGACTTTATTTATACCGTTAAAAGATTGTAAATTAATTCAATAGTTATTTCCATACACAAGATACTTTTTAAAATAAAAATACAAAATTCAAGGAAGTTGAGTTAATTCACGATAGCACGGACGACTGCGGTTCAACTCTCAGGGGAATTATAAGTAAAACTTTTTTTTTTTTTTTGTTATGCAGAGTATCAATTTACTAGTTTCACCCCTGTTTTTCCCAGAAACTACTCAACCTTGAAAGAAAATTAAATAGTAGTTTTGTTAGAATAAGCTTTAACTTCAAACAATGCGATACTTACAAGATTTTTTATTTCTTAAAAAGGTAATAAATTAAAATTTGATTCGATTTTATGAAAAATGGCGAAAACTATTTGAAAATCGGCTCAGAGGAACGTTAATAAGTAAATAATTAAACTTAATTAATTATTTACTTAGTTAAATAACTTAATTAACTGTTTAATTTTTTGGTCTTCCTCCAGTAGTTTTTGAGAAACTTAAGGGGTGACAGTCTAAAACTATTGCACTGTATACAAACGCCCATTACTTTATAGATCATAGTTAATTAATTCCATAATTGTTTCTGGGTCATGCACAACAAGACTTTTAAATAAAAATACAAATTGCCACTTGGATTTGCCACTACCAATTTGCTACGATAGCCATCGTTTAATTATGTTTGTCTTACATAATTAAATATGTTTGTATGCTATCTATACCACAAATCAATTAGACAAAGAGAAAATACGTTAATTTTGTTTAAATCTTGTTCAAACGAAATCCTTAATAATAAATGCCAGGAGAAGGATACTAGACCATAAAAATGTCTCTTCGACGTGCAACTTTATATCCAACAGGTCAATTTATAATACATATTAAGTGAGAAAAATCGTATAATAACATTGCTAGATCTTTATCATCAAGCGATATGATGATCGCCTGGACTTAAATGCGTCAGCTGGTATTCTTACCTCTTCTTTTTTTTTTCCTGTTTGATCTGTAAAAAATTCTTTATCGTATGAGAGGAATCCCTCTTAGGCTAGTTTTTGTAACACATACTCAATGAATTTAGTTGAGCGTGTTACAAAATTAATCTCAGTTTTAAAAAAGAAGTTAATATATACTAAATAAATAATTATTGAAGTATATCTTTAGTCCGTCTTGTTGAACTTGTTTTTAAAGTACGATATAATAATCATTTTATACTTGGATTTTTATTGTCAGCAGTTTTCCCTGTGCATAATTGGACACCAAATAAGCAACGTGAAACGTTTTCAATTAGACAAGACAACAATAATGTTTGTTATTAAAAAGCCAAGGTTGATTTTATTGATATGTTTGTATTTTGATTTGTTCCTTTTTTGTATTTTGTTGTGGGGATGAGCTTACTGTATACATTAGGCAACGACCTTGCTGATGCTTTATTTATGGAGATTGTTCCATTGGAACTAAAACCAAGGAAGAATTCCAGCTACAGATGGAAAAAAAGATTTGACGTGCTTTTATCGCTTTCGTACTTACTTTTTCACTTATAATTACATCAAATCTAAACATTACTGATATAACATGAAAGTAGAAACATTCAGCTTTCTAACAGTCGTAATTACTTTAATTAATTATACTTTTTATATGTCGTCTTGGTTGAGGTGAAAAAGTCAGTGTCGCGAACGGGATTCGAACCTACGACCTTCGGCTCAATGCGCCGCTGCTCTAACGACTTGAGCTAAAGTGACTTCAAAATTAAAAATAAATTGAGAAGTCACGTTAGCTGAAGCTGCGTATTGAGCCGAAGGTCCTGNGTATGCTATCTATACCACAAATCAATTAGACAAAGAGAAAATACGTTAATTTTGTTTAAATCTTGTTCAAACGAAATCCTTAATAATAAATGCCAGGAGAAGGATACTAGACCATAAAAATGTCTCTTCGACGTGCAACTTTATATCCAACAGGTCAATTTATAATACATATTAAGTGAGAAAAATCGTATAATAACATTGCTAGATCTTTATCATCAAGCGATATGATGATCGCCTGGACTTAAATGCGTCAGCTGGTATTCTTACCTCTTCTTTTTTTTTTCCTGTTTGATCTGTAAAAAATTCTTTATCGTATGAGAGGAATCCCTCTTAGGCTAGTTTTTGTAACACATACTCAATGAATTTAGTTGAGCGTGTTACAAAATTAATCTCAGTTTTAAAAAAGAAGTTAATATATACTAAATAAATAATTATTGAAGTATATCTTTAGTCCGTCTTGTTGAACTTGTTTTTAAAGTACGATATAATAATCATTTTATACTTGGATTTTTATTGTCAGCAGTTTTCCCTGTGCATAATTGGACACCAAATAAGCAACGTGAAACGTTTTCAATTAGACAAGACAACAATAATGTTTGTTATTAAAAAGCCAAGGTTGATTTTATTGATATGTTTGTATTTTGATTTGTTCCTTTTTTGTATTTTGTTGTGGGGATGAGCTTACTGTATACATTAGGCAACGACCTTGCTGATGCTTTATTTATGGAGATTGTTCCATTGGAACTAAAACCAAGGAAGAATTCCAGCTACAGATGGAAAAAAAGATTTGACGTGCTTTTATCGCTTTCGTACTTACTTTTTCACTTATAATTACATCAAATCTAAACATTACTGATATAACATGAAAGTAGAAACATTCAGCTTTCTGACAGTCGTAATTACTTTAATTAATTATACTTTTTATATGTCGTCTTGGTTGAGGTGAAAAAGTCAGTGTCGCGAACGGGATTCGAACCTACGACCTTCGGCTCAATGCGCCGCTGCTCTAACGACTTGAGCTAAAGTGACTTCAAAATTAAAAATAAATTGAGAAGTCACGTTAGCTGAAGCTGCGTATTGAGCCGAAGGTCCTGAGTTCGAATCCCGCTCGTAGCACTAGCTTTTTCATTTCAAACAAGCCTTAGATAAAAACTAAAATTAATTAAAATAATTAATACGGTCAATTTTGACTACTAAATGCATATAATAACGTTGAAGTTGAATAAAAGAGAGGAGCTATGAATTTTTTAATTGGAACACCGGACATCTCATGAAAAAAGATCGCCAAGATCCAAAGATACAACTCAAAAATGTCTTCTTGTTTTGCTACGAAAATTAGTATTTATTGTCTTAAAAGGGTGCTTAAAACGAATCCCATATTTTTTTCATGAAAAATATTTTTTGTCACTTTCTTTTTTTTTTTTTGTAATTTTTCCTGTATCTAATATAATTTAATTTAAATCAAACGATATAATTTTACAATAACCTTGAAATACATGAAGAACGAAGGCAGAAAACAATATTTGTTTTTATATGCTTTGACGTAGTGATGTTGCAAAGCAGGTCGAAATATTTTTTTGACACAACAAAGTCGATAATCGTTTTCTACACCTCAAAACAGTTGGATACAAATTTTTAGAGAAATCAAAACATAATTTTTCGGCTTGATTTGCCTAGGGATTATTTTCGAAAATCACAAAAATGACGATAACTTTAAAATAACTCACCGATGCACCGAAAACTAAAGAAATTAAAAACCCTACAAACTACACGTAATTTCATAAACTTGGCTTCCGTAAATAAATTATTATCAGTGGAAAAAAACAACTTTCGACGTGTTTTTGTCACTTTCATTCTTTTTTTTCTCACTTAAAACTACTTAAAATCTAAACATTGGTCCAATAACATGAACGTAGAAACGTCCACCTTTACAACGGTCGTAATAATTTTTCAATTAATTAAGGTTTTTAGTTGAGATAAAAAAGTCAGTGTCACGAGCGGGATTCGAACCCACGACCTTCGGCTAGATACGCCGCTACTCTANGTCTTATTTTGTTTGTTACGAAAATTAGA